GGACATGGACCACAGAGAAATATTTATAAGGTTACAAATTTACCACAAATGGGAACTTCATCAACGGTCTTAAAAAGAAATTGGACAGACATTCGAACAAGGATCAGCCGGGTAAAAAAGTGACGAATTCTGGGCTTACACTTATTATGTGAGAGCACCTACATACGCAGATTTTCTTTTTGCTCGTTTTCATTCTTTGTTTGGGTAAAATATGACACAACTAAATCAATTTGATGAATGGATGAAAAAGTCCCCCCCCCCAAAAAAAAAATCAACGCCTGCGGCTCAGGGCATGTATTTTGCAAGCGCGTTGGACAGAAATTAGAGAAAACAAAAGAAATCATTGACTGGGAAATTAAGGAGTGACGAATTCTGAGCTTGCAGTTTCCACTTATTTTGAGAAAGCAGTTCCTATTTATTCGGATTTTCTTGTCCACTTTTATAATTTCTTTCAATAAAATATGACTGAAATTAATCCCAATTAATGAATCGATGAGATAAAAACAATGAAAAATCAACACCAAAGAGCGAATAGCATGTACTTTGCAAGAAAGTTGAAAGAAAACAGTAAAGGCACCCTCTATAAACACCATGAAGTAAAGGGCAACAGCACACGACGCGTCGCGTCGTGCGTCGTGTCGTGCGTCGCGTCGTGCTTTAGGCTAAAGAGAGAGAGAAATGTTTGTCGTAAATAGTACACCATAGCACTGTCTTTGGCTGCATGTTCCACGACCTGTGACCGCAAGGTTATCTCTTCCTATTAGTTTTAGCGAAGCCGTTTTTTTGGGGGGGGGGCGCTAATAAAATGCCTTGACGCGGTCAAGTGTCGGCTGTAATAAAAACGCGGCCCTGGTATGATCACAGTGCGGTAATTTATTTTCTTAAGTATCATCCGATCACGCATATCGTGATATATTCAAATCACTGGTTATTATCTTTATCAATTTCGATTAACAAATAAAGTGTAGTGAGAATATTCTCAGCAATGAGGAAAATAAATTTGAAATAAAAAAAAATCGGATTGATAACCGCGCCGCTTGTGGCACGCACTGATGAGCGAGCTCGCACCTGGAAGAAATTTTCCCACAATGCTCTGCGCACGTCGTTCGCTGAGACCCAGTGTGACGTGTTTCCTTCACTTAAATCTGTGCAAGGTCATCAGCCCACCCTGGCCCCCGAACGCTGGGTGACAAGCGAACAACTCATCGCCACTCCAAGGATTACACTATTTTTACCGCAACAGCATTCTGCCTACATGGTGTCAACACAGCGTCAGTTGAGGTGTGTCTATAACCGAGAAAAATGGTCGGTTCTAAGGCCACAATCCTAACCAAGTCAAGTGGTTCAAAAAAAGGTAAGAAAAGGAGAAGTTTAAGCAGAAGCAAAAACAGATTTCTTTACAACAACAACAATACAGAAAGACCATTTGCACTGAATAGAAATTCAGTCACGCTCAAATAAAACTGGACAAATTACCCCCAAAATTGAATAGAGTTTGATCTATCCAAGAGAGAAAAAAAATCAAATTTGATAAAAATATGCCTACAAAACAAGAAAAGCCCCAAATCGGCACAGTGCAAACAGCAAGAGATTACTCCAAAAAAATGCTTTCCAGCATACTGACAGAGACCAACATCAAAAACACACAAAAGAATACAAGAAGTTTAAGCATTTCCTAGCGAAACTATACAAATCGAAATATACTGAAACCAAGGACTCTACGTGTACTTTAAAACAGGTAAAAACGTACAATTGAAGTAAATTACCCAACTGTAGCAACACTGTACAACTGCTGATTAAAAGTTAATGTAGATGTGACAACATCAACAATTCAAGTCACAGCCATTCCTACTGTAGGTGAGTAAAGTCTATTACTTCGACATTCCCGGCACTATTCACGCAATTACTGAACTCACGGAGCTACGTGTTACTCAAATAGCTCCATGCTGAACCCGACTTTTCTAGTGAAGGCGTACCTAACGAACTACGTGTCCATCTGATTGTTTTTAATGTGGAACCGAGGGCACTGGCGAGACCATGACCTAAGTATCTAGACACTGTAGTATAGAGCAGACACAGTCAAGGTACATAGAATAGTTGCACAGTGCCACCAACTTCTAAAACCTGAACCTTAATTTAACTGAAGGACTCAGGTCCACTCCACAATACAACCAAAAAACACGTATCACCACACTGTGGGCCAAACGAAAGATGATACTTTCTGGCCTGTGTCCAGGACTGTGTCCAGGGCAGGGCTTCACTCATCATGGCACGCTTACGTCATGCTCAGCTAGACTGGCGCGGTCTCTCTATACATCACAGTCCAGCATATTTTTATTTTTTTAAAATTTTACTTTACAATTAATGCAAGTCTTTGACAGCAAGCAAGAGCATGTATAAACAAAAGTCTAGAATACTTGCCTGAGACTAGTCTAACCACCATTTTTTTCCCAACCAAAGCACATCTTCCTACTAAAACTTCCGCTGAACTAACACAGACATGCTAGAGTATCCATACAATGCCTGTTGCTTTGATATGTCACACCACAGTCATACTAACTTGCAGCGGTAAATGGCACATTAATTGGAAACATCACAAAAATATAAGTAAAGGATAAAAGCAAACTGTCGAAATAATCCTCCAGTAACTGTGGTGATGGGCTTCCATGATAATGGTTTATAGCAGTGGAAGAGAGAGCAACAATCAAGATCATCACTGGACATGTTGGATGTATGGAAAGGTGGTCTAAAATCCATGACATACACAGGGGCTAACTGTAAAATATCAATATCACCGATTTTCTGACCAAATAAGTGTACAACCAGAGGAAAACGCACCAAAATGCTTCTGCAGAGAGCAAGGCAGGGTCCGGCAGAGGGGAAAAAAAGTAGCTCATCCCCTCACTGCCTGTCTGCGCTACTATAGGCTCCAAGCTGAACCAAGAGATGGCGCAATTTTCCTAGCAATGGAAGATCCTCTGGTAATAACTGCGCATCGCTGGCTCACGAACGTGTATGAAACGCAAGCGTTGCAGTCGCATCGTACTACTCCCTACTAACATGGCTCTTTTCAACCGATGAAGGGGTGTTTCTGCTCATGGCGGATAAAAATCTTGCTATCCTGGGAGTGCTGTACCAAGGTGGCTCTAGTGAGGAGGAATAAGATACACTGGGGGTACTATTTACAACAGACCCAGGAAAAGGAGGATAGCATTTTTTTGTCTCCATTGCATGTTCCATTTAACCCTGGGACGCGTTTATGAATTTTTCTTTAAATCTTCTTTAAATGGCGAGTTTATTCATTTCAACCCACGAGCGGGTAACGGCGAATAAGGATTAAACCTAGTAGACTTTGTTTCTTTGTGAAAATCTTTCGGAGGCTGTTTAGTTTCTATATAAAGCACATTATTAGATATCTAGATTCAAATTTAAAACACATTTACTTTAGATTTTCTTTATTAATTAGAGACAATGGACCGAAAAAAATTAAACAGACGATTTAAGC